AACCCACCCACAACCAAAGCAAAAAAAAAAAAAAAAAAGTGGGGACGGGGGCGATGGAAATGGGGGCGAAGACCGCGGAGGCTACATTCAGTCCTTGTCTCCCTAAGTGAAGCAGTGTCGCAGGCCACCCGGGGCTGAGCTGATCCGCTCCGTACAAAGGCACAGGGAGCCGCTGCGAGATTAGCGGAGCCTGGGAGACCTGCAGGGCGGCTCGCTGGAGTGGACTCTATACACCGAGGATCCCCTTGCGATCCTTGTGGGCTTCCACGACGCCCCGACCGCTGGAATTTGTCACTCGCCCTCACCCTGCCCTTCCCGTATGGATGTCGGCAGGGAGGGCTTCGCATCCCCGCACCTTTTCAATGCCCTTGAAGCGTCCGAAAATTTCCCCCCTTCTCTTTGGCTCTGGGGGGTGACTGGAAGGGACGGCCGAGGTCTTTATTATGGGACGCCTGCAAGTTCTGGACCAGGGAGAGGGGAAGGGATATTATTTTCCTGGTGCGGAGAAACGCTGCCCACCTAGCGCTCTGCACCCCTTCCCTAGGGTTCCTGGGCCAGTGCGGCAGAGGCTGGTGGCGGGACGCGCGTGGGTTTGGACCCCTTGGGAAGTTCTGGGAGCCTGGGGTTTGAGAGACAGATGGGCCACGCTCCATCTCTGAGCCCCACTGGGGTATACGCGCGGGGCTCACATTGCCCCAGCGACTCCTAGATGACCCTGCCAGGGTCGGTTGAAACCTGGAGAAGGGATGGGGGAGGCGAGCGCGCGCGCCGCAGGACTCTGAGCGGTGGCTTGGGAGCCGAGCCGCGCATTCCGCGCATTCCCGCCAGGCCTCGGTTCCGCCGCCACGTGGTTGCCCAGCGCGGCCGCTTACCGTAAGGCTTGGAGGATGAGCGCACTCTCGGCGCCGAACTCAAACGGACCTCCCAGGATGCGCAAGAACAGGTGGTCCGCAGCAGAGTGAACTGACCTTGCCTTTTTTACGTTAAAAACAAAACAAAAACAAAAAACTGTACTGCTGGTGTGATAACGCGTACATCTATAGAGACAGGCAGGAAACAGTGCTCAGGTCGCACTGGTAACTAATAGGGTGACTGTCCACCAGGAACGTGACAGAACCAGTAGCAGACTTCTGACGGTTTCTTCTCCTTTTCCTTGCTGTTCAGAATCAATCGCTGGCTCAGTCCAATGCACTGCG